CTATTCATGTAATTCATGTATCATACAGGCACTTAACCCAGTTAACGGATTCGTAAACATGATCAAACGAAATTCCCAACTACTTCCAATTTATCGTTATGTACTTCGACAAGATCTTTTTGATGTCCGAACATCACCTAATTCTAAACTTTTAGATCGTCTCGTTAATCAAGGTCTTCGATTTTATCCTTTTCCGAAAAATCAACTCTGTGACAGTGCATTATGTCATCGTGCATCATTATGTTATGGAACCTTATATCAACACGAAAATTTAAATCAAAAAATTCATGATCATCAAGATGAATTTTTTGGAACAGTTAATCTAACTACAATGGATCATATGATGAAGATTACGTCGGCTCAAAAGCTTGTAACTTATAAAAAACAAAGTAACTACGTTACTGAAGAGAATATAAAGAAAAACTTGAACATTCCTATCCTCATGATCCATGGTGACAAGAATGTTGTGTAAGTAAATTACCAATTTATTGAAATGTTATTTTATTATTATTACTGTTATTATAGCTCATCTAAAATATTCTTCCTCTAATTGTAATTATTTGTCTCCAGCTTTGATGTAAAATCAACAAGAAAATCTTATAACACTTTGAGAGATCACGGAAATAATCCTGACTTATACACGCCGCCACGTGTAATAGAAGGTTATGGACATTTAGATTGTTGGTGGGGAACTAAGGCTGACAAGGATGTATTTCCTATTGTATTAGATCATCTTGAAAAAACAAAAGATACTTATGGATATGAATTGAAAGTGAGTAGTGATAGTCAAGGGTCTCATAAACTTGGAAATGGTGCTATTTTATTTTTATGAATCTATAATTGGGTTTCATTTAATTAATAATATATACCGTTATATTTGTATCAGACCAGTAACACGTTTATTAATATATTAAATATATTTTTACCATATTTGAAAGTTATGATATCACGTGAATGTGTATCGAAATTCATTTTTAGGACCTGTAACTACCTTTATTAATCAATTGATTAATAATATATTTTATTAATGGTGTCTCTTATACTGCAAGAAAATGATAACAAAATAAATAAATATTTAAATTCTGAATTAAGATCTAATAATATCTAACCTTGATACGTATAATCACTGGGTTGGTAGCTAAGGTGATAGTATGGTGATCCGAATCGTTTAAACAACTAAACGATTTAGTTATCGTTATCAACTAGTTCAATTCCGAAATATTCCGTCTAGTCGGGCTAGTCCGTGTTGATTTCTTCAGTTTGATTGGCTAATCGGCAAATTTAGTCACCTGATATGAAAAATCGATACACTAGGTGATAGTTAGAGTTTGGAACCGATTTTATTTTTCATATGTTAAAACCGATTAAAACCAGTTCTAAACTCTAGGTGATGGTCTTAAATGGTGGTTAATTTTCTTATAAGCAAAAAAAGAGTTTACTAAAACACACCAGTGGTGTATCTTAAGAATTGTTCAGAATCCCTAAAAACTTTATGCTAATTAAATTTGAACCTTTATATCT